GGAATGTGGAAACTCAGGTTGAATTAGGGAGATGAGCCAGAAATAAGACAAGGATGAGCCTTCAGAAGCGGGGAGCGAGCCGGGAACTTGAGCTCCATGGGAAATAGCAGAGAGAGAAAATAACTTCTTTTTGATATGTCAAAAATGTGATAGTTAAAGGGAAGAGCATGCCTTGAAGAGTGCCCTAGTATATGCCTGGCCAAGTGATTTAAAGTTGGGGCCTCCATTTCTTTTTAACGGGGAAAATGATGTACCCCGTCTCCTCCCTGACACATTTTGGTAGGAATTGCATAAGGATGCGTATAGAAGCATTCAGGTATTCAGTGAGAAGCACAACACAAATGCCGTGAGAGCTTCCTGGAGAAGAAAGAGTGCTGGATTTAGGCTCGAGGACTTGAGAGCATGTACAGCATCCGTGTCTTTCTGTGTAAAATGAGGATGGTAACGCCTGTCTTCCATGTCATGGACCTGCTAGGAAAAGAACATATTCCAGTTAGGACCCTTCTAGAAAACTTGTTTCAGTGATTGACATTCAGTGCTTGCTACTCTCTCACACAGATGGGTTCCTACCAAGCCTACAAGTTGTAAGCTGCTTCCCTTGCTGAACAATCAGCGGGCTCCATAAAACAGAAGTGTGACTTGTTTAGAGAACCACACTCAGTGTTCCGACCCGACAACCCCAGGTCTGACACTCGTAAACCTCTACAAACCATTTTTTTTTAAAATGTTAAGATCTAGACAAGTTCTCTAACCTGGATAAGTTGCCTCCCTGGTTCTTACTTTTAAGCTTGAGAAAGGCCCTGGGTTCCCAGCCACTTGCCTTTCCTTTGGTGTCTGTCCCCTGCCATCCCCTCCCTCCCGCCCATGATTGGCCAGCTGCTCCCCACATCTTTGCTGCCTGGAAGTCAAGCACAAAGGAAAGAGATCCCCCTCCCTGCCCCCGCCTTTTAAGGCCTTTATTGCTAATTATAAGAGAGAACGTAGTAGGGCAGCATAGAAAGTTTACGCTGAGACTTACACAGGACTCAAAATGTACTTAAGTTCATACTCCTTTTTTGTGCTGCCTCATTCCTAGCCATAGGAAAAAAATGGCCCCTGCTTTTATTTCTGAGGGTTGGGGCTCATCCCCTCTTTGAACTGCCTTTAGCAAAGGCCTATGCTGTCTTCCACCGCGACACCTTTATGCTTGTGGTACCCGCCCCTTTGCAAGTGTGGAGTTTTCATTTTTTAGAGATCTCCAGACAGGGTAATAACAAGTTCACTTGGCCTCGGCTCTGTCCAGGAGAGACTAATTGCACAGCAAATCCCAGGCCATAATGAGGAATTGTTGAAAGAACACTGTCTTTAATCCTTTCTTTGGCATCAGCCACTTGCTATTAAAAAGGTAGATTGGAATCAACTAAAGATGAACAGCTTAGTTCATTTGTCTTTCTTGGCTTAAAGAAATGGGTAGGAAGGAAAAGGGTCTTAGGATAAAACACTGAAGTTATTGAGTTGTTTTATAAGGCTTTGTTTTTCTTTGACCATGAAATTGGCCCTAGGGGACTTTTTAAGGGGGGGAAGTTTTGTTAAATCTCTAAGGGTAGAAGAAAAGACCACAACATTATATATGTATAAATGTAAAGTTAAAGCCATCAGGTGGATTTTAGGAAAACATCTTTTTTTCAAAACCTAATATATGCACCTGTTTTAAAACTAGTGACATTTGCATCTGCTCCCACTTTATTCATAATAGGAAAAGATTAATCTAAGACAGAGTAGAAACAAATGATTCTCAAACAAAGACTCTTGGATATATATTTGTGTTACACAACTATTGTTAAGGTTTTTTAAGTTCAGGATTATGAAGAAATGATGGGTTTCAGAAAAATGTATTTCTTTCAATATATTTTTATTGATTTTAGAGAGGAAGTGAGAGGGAGAGATAGAAACATCAATGATGAGGGAAAATCAGCTGCTTCCTGCACCCCCCCCCCCACACACACTGGGGATCAAGCCCCAAAACCTGAGCATGTGCCCTGACTGGGAATGGAACCATGACCTCCTGATTCATACTTCGACACTCAACCAAGCCAGCCAGGCAGAAAAATGTATTTTTAAAAGGTTGCTGAAAGACTGACAACCTGGGTAGTGTATATGCTCCACATACACACAGTCATATTTATAACCAAATAGTGAAGAGGGATTAGAACTTTCATTAAAAAAACAACAACAACAACCTACATTTAGGGCGAGTTAGGGTGCCTGTAAATGCTGCTTTTTAACATATTTTTAAAACTTTATTAAATTTATTGGGGTGATATTAGTTATATAGATTTCAAGTGTACAATATTATAAATATATCATCTGCAGACTGCATTGTATGTTCACCACCCGAAGTCAACTCTCCTTACATTTGAGCCCCTTTACCCTTTTCTACCTCACTCCTATCCCCCTTTCCCTCTGGTAACCACTGCATTGTTGTCTGTGCCTGTGATAAACAGATTTTTACTGGAAGTCGAGAACCAGGAGTTTTGGATGAATTTTCATGCTGGCACTTGACCACCTGTATGAACCTGAGCAAGTCAGTATCTTTTGTCAAAAAAGGAGTGGGGGTGCACAGTAGACTCATTCTCATGGGGTTCTGATGAAGATTCAGTGACTCTGGATATTTGCTGCTGTTTGGGCTGCCTTGCAGCTTGCTCACCCTTTTTTTAAAAATATATTTTATTGATTTTTTACAGAGAGGAAGGGAGAGAGATAGAGAGTTAGAAACATTGATGAGAGAGAAACATCGATCAGCTGCCTCCTGCACACCTCCTACCGGGGATGTGCCCGCAACCCAGGTACATGCCCTTGACCGGAATCGAACCTGGGACCTTTCAGTCCGCAGGCCGCTGCTCTATCCACTGAGCCAATTTGGGGGTTGAACCTCACCCTTTTTGAGGAAGGGCAGTTGGTCCTTCTCCCTGCTCCAGGCATCGAGGGTGATGGTTGTGGTATGTACACTAGGAGACTCCCAGAGATTCCTGTCTGGGACTTTAAACATTCAGGCAGCAATAGACAAGGACAGTTAATGATTTTAAGTTTATGGAGAAGAGATTCTAGGGACAGGACAGCCAGGTGTCCACGGTGGCCTTCCAGCGAGGCTGGGCGATTTGATCTCCTGGGGGATGTTCTCAGCTATCTAACCTCACTAAGTTTCTGCCTCTTACTGTGTTTCTAATCATTCCCTTTGCCAATTAAGTTAGTTCCCATCTTGATATATTGCTTTCTTCTGGTGGTATTCATCTAACACTGCACAGTTTTTAAACTATAAAAACCAGAAATTGGCAAAGAGAGTTGGCCCACTGGATCTAAGATTCAAGTAACTTCAGATAATGCCAAGTGCCTTTGTAAGTCTCTCTGCAAGATTGTTGTATGATTTATAAATGAGAGGTTGGAGCTGGGGGAGCTGGAAAGTTCTGTGCACTCAGAGCTTGTTATTCCTGGCGGTTCTGACGAGGGGGAATCTCTGGGATTAATACAGCCGTGGGTATAGTGGGATTTAGAATGCCAAAGAAGGGGCCCAGAATTTGGTAAAGATTCTGGTCCTTGTAGTGGAGAGCCCACAATGAGCCAGCATGTAGGACACTTTCCTTCTGCTTTTAACTATGTGGTGGGTAAAATGCATAGGTATTTTGTGACTGCTTGCTTTTTGTGTGCCTGCCATCTCTACAGGCACACCAGGACTAAAGCTGATAGTGAGAGTATGACTGGGTAGCAGGTGGGGTTGAGAGAGCATTGCACATGAAGAAGACTTATATTTCCTGAGCTTCTATAGAGAAGGCACTATACTTGAATCTGTTTTTTCTCATTTGATGTTACTTCCTTTATTTTAGAGAGCCTCACTGAGAGGAAGTCTTAGTAACTTGCCGGGTGTCCATGTATCAATTAGCAATTAAATGGGAGATTGGACATTGACACCCAGGCCTTTTCTATTTCAAAGCCTACCAGGTTCTTTCCATGCTATTTGTGCTATGGAATCAAGGGAGAATAAAAATAGGAAGTGGAAGAGAGAAAGACCAGAGAAAGGAATAGAGCAGCGGTTCTTAACCTGTGGGTCGCGACCCCTTTGGGGGTTGAACGACCCTTTCACAGGGTTCGCCTAAGACCATCTGAAAACACATATATAATTACATATTGTTTTTGTGATTAATCGCTATGCTTTAATTATGTTCAATTTGTAACAATGAAAATATATCCTGCATATCAGATATTTACATTATGATTCATAACAGTAGCAAAATTACAGTTATGAAGTAGCAACGAAAATAATCTTATGGTTGGGGGTCACCACAACATGAGGAACTGTATTAAAGGGTCGCAGCATTAGGAAGGTTGAGAACCACTGGACTAGAGGTTACCTGGGAAAATAAACAAGCATTAGGTTCCAGAGATAGATTATTGAGACATCAAGGGACAAGGAGTCATAAAATTGCAAGAATGGAATAGACCTTAAAGGAATAAAGCTCATCACCCTCTCCAAGTGATCACCCCTTTATCAAAATGGTTACCCAACTTCTTCCTGCAACAGTGATGGGGGATTAGATGGTCTGTTCTCTCTGTGGACAGCTCCGGCTAGTAGAAACATATTCTCTATGAACCCCAGGATTCCCTCTGGCTCCAAGTTCGCCTACCTACCAGTAACAACCTCTTAGTAACTAAAAATGATAATTAGTACTTTGAATTGATAAAGCTAGGCAGCAACGTGGTCATGAAAACAAAGTGTTTTGGTTTGAATCCCAGTTCCTCTACTTCCTAGCTGGGGCCTTGGACAAGTCCCATGCAATCAATCCTCTAAGCCCTGGATTCCTCATTCATACATGGTGGCCACCTCACGTTGCTATGAGGATCCAATGAGAGAAAGCCTTTGGCATGGTCACTGGCACACAGTGAGTTTTATAAAGTTTTATAAGGTTACAGATTGCTATTACTTTCCATACCTCCCTCCGGTAGGAATTATCACTCCCATTTTCCAGATCTTGAAAACTGATGGAACTTCCTGAGAGTCGCAGAAGAAGCAAGTGGAAACCATGACGTTCAAGAGAAAATAATTTTAACTTTTGCTCTTTCCATCTTAACACTTCCCACCACTCCCCTACTCTGAATGGAGAAAGGCTGCTGTAGGCCAACTGGTGTCACTGAGACAAAATAAAATATCCTGCAGATTGCTGTACCTTCCTTTTTTCCTTTCTCATGAAAAAGAATTTCTTTTTGGAAATGTTATTCCATTCATTTATATTCATCAGCACTTGGGTCAGGTGTCACTTCATGCACTTGTTTTGAATAGCTAATATAAAAAGTCTCTTGGGAGAACAACTTTGTTTTTCAGTATTTGTATGCAGTAAATGTAACATGGGATATCGTTATGTTTGTTTCCACCACGTGTGTCCCAGGCTCTAACATAGAACAGTCAGGCCACATTATATGTTTTACAAGATGAGATATATTTTATGTTAGCTGGATGTTAATTTCTGGCCTGTGAATATTCTTGGACCAGTTATGCCAGAGGCACAAATTTCCACCCTTAATGTGTTCTGTTTTTCTGTTATTAATTGCTGTCATCAGACTTGAAGAGCCTGGCTCCGGGGTTCGTACCCCTGTTTCTATTGCAGACTAGTTTATCTTGAGTAAGCCTCGTTTAGCCTGTGATTGTCTATCTGCAAAATTGTTGCACTATTTCTTACCAGAATGGTTCTAAGGCAGGTTTTCTCATCCTAGACACTAATGACACTGGGTGGTGGTGGCGGAAGAGGGTCTGTCCTATGCATTATAAGATATTTAACATCTCTCATCTTTACCCACTAGATGCCAGCAACTCCCCCTTACCCCACACCAGTTGTGATACCCAAAAATGTCCAGTGTCCCCTGGGCGGGGACATAATCAACCCCCACCTGAGAAACACTGCTATGAGGTGGAACACTATTCTATATGTAAAAGGGTTGCAAGCTGAAGGTAACTACTAGACATTTCATTAAATGTCTACTTCAAGTAAAGGACTGTGCTAAGTGCTATGGAGAAAAGTAACCATGTGCAAGTTACTATCCCTGCTTCCCAGCAGTTATGGTGGGGAATGGTGATGCAAGGTAGAATCTGATAAATCTGCAAGGTTCAATTAACATATCAAAGACGAGGTGGCATTTGGCATTTGAGTTGCACTTGTAGGAATAGGGAAGGACCCCCCAACAAGGAATTAGGGCTTTATTTCTAGTCTTTTGATAGGTTGCCAGTCAGAAAATGGAAATGAGAGAAGTAGGCTTTCAATGCAGGTGACAAACTGGGAGATTGTGTGACTCACCTACAGGGGACACAGTTGTTGGGGGCAGGAATGTTAGTCTGGTGTTGCCAGATCCCCCAGTGTTTCAAAAGATGTTGAAAATGCAGATTTTTGTAAAATGTGAAATTTCCCAAATTTTTAACATTAGCTCAATTGAAAACAACAGTAACATTGTGCTGGCCAAACAAAAGACCGAATGGAGGTCAAATGAGGTTGCCAGTTTGCAGCCTCTGTTCCAGGTCATCTTTTAAGGGGTTGGGGGGAAGCTTCTCTCATTCTTTCCCTTAAAAAGCTATCAGAGGAAATGTCAAACTGGTATGTTCCTTCTTACTGTATACTATTCATTTCTACCCATGTTTTACTTTCTCCATTTAAATCTTATCTATCAAGATAAAGTTCAGATCTAAAATTATGACCTAGTTTAAGTAAAACAACGTTTTTTGGAAAACACGAGCATCCTCCACTTAAGAATTCTCCTGGGTCCTCAGCTAAAAGTGAAACTTGGAATGGCTGCCAGCAAATGCCTTTTGTAGCCTTGGAAATTTAAAGTGATTTATCACTTGCTGGTAATAACTGGAGGCCTCCATATACAAGAAAGAACTTAAAGGTAAAGAGGCCAAAAATAACAAGTATAACCATATGGCTTTTTTTCAAAAGGTGGCTATGTGACTATCTAGCTAAAAAGGACTCTTGCCAGCTTTACTGTGAATTTTCTCCTCCTCCTCCTCCTCCTCCTCCTCCTCCCCTCCTCCTTCTCCTTTTGGTAGCTTTACATAATAGTCTTTCAGTTTTAACATTGTAGGGAAGGAATTCCTCCTCCTTTTACTCCTAGGTTTTGAAAACCTGAACTATGGGGTGAGGAAGAAATGTGTTTATAGGCAACAGAGCCAGATCCCTAGTTGACCATAGGATTATTGGTTTGTACCTCAGCAGTAAACCTATGTGATAACCCCTATGTATATTCTTTCAAGTCTCCAGAGGTGGTTTAGCTTTCTGTGGTGGTATCTAAGTTCCACGTGGGACTATCTAGCTCAGTGCACACGGTCTTGTTCTTAAGGATGAAGCATAAAATTACTTGGTCAGATGCCTTGAAGAAATCAAGATGTATATTAGTTCATACAGTTTCTACTTGTTTAATAAAGTGAATGGCACATCTTGGCCTGGTTTGCCCTTCCAGAATTTTTATTTGTCCTTAGTAATTATAATTAAATAATCTATTCTATAATTATGCTGAGAAAGTTGATTAGTTCATAGGCTCTGGAGCTCATATGCTCCTCCTTGGTCATAATGGAGGTATTTCCCCCCCAGTTCTAGTTCTCTGGAGTGCTTCATTGGTATGTTGGTATCCATGTGGCTTTTGTCACATTATAGTATGGGAGGAGAACACACACTCACACACACACACACACACACACGCATGCACGCACGCACACACAGCATAGAAGGCTAAAAATTAGGGCTCTAGATTAACCTAGATAGTATGAATTCTTAGATTTTTTTTGTTTTTCTAATAAATCTTGAACTGTTATTACAAATAGTTTGTTAAATACAAACATTAACAATTTAACAATGTCTACTCCTCTGAATTGAACAGCATACTTTTAAAAATTAATTTCTTTGGGATATACTTTGGAAACTAGAATTGGGGAGCTGTGGAAGTTACAGACTTTCAGGTCATAATGAATACAGCTAGGAAATAATACAGATGCTACCCCTTCGTGTGAGAGACTGAATGTAAATCACCTTAAGAGTCTCCTCGGCCCAGATGCATTTCCAGTCTGATTGGTTTGACATTTGTCTAGGACCTTTGGAACAGAAGCTGATGCAATTAAAAACGAAAATGAGTTTCTATCCGTGCAAGTTCAGAATATCTCAAAGCATTTTTTTCTCTTCTTAAATCATTTTGACTATTGGTATTTGTGGCGGTATGGCTTCCTCATATGAAATACGCTGTTATGCAACAGCTGTAGTTGTGTTGCCTGAATGCATGCCAATTCTGTTCAGATTGAGCTGCGGGGACTGCTTGTTAGCTCCCTAGCTGGCTGGGAGAGAGGGTAATGCAAAATTAATGTCTGAAGAAAGGCCTCCTATCTGACACTGTTTGGGGATGTAGGTAGTCTGAAGTGGTGTACAGAAATTAAACTAACGTGCTAATCTTCCTACGTTAATAGAAAAGTGGCTGGGATTCCTGGTTCCAACTCTTTTGGTTTTAATTTACAAAATTGGGGAGGGCCTTGGTTCCCCCGTTTCCCTTACCTAGCTCCATCCCTGAACATAAAGCATGTATAAGCCTGGGATTTTGAGACCTTTAGGTGTTTGGAATTTAGGCTGCACTTCACAGAGGAGTGGTAGGAGAGAGTGTTGTAATAGGATTCTCACATACAGGCTACACGTATCTAAGAAAATATTTATTCAAGTAGTCTTTTTCTTAATGAGTAGCAGCTAAATTAGACTGATGCTGAACATTTTTTATTCATTCTAAGTTAAGGATAATGTAACATAGCTGCTTCATTCAGCAGTGTAGAACCAATTTTGGCTCTGCCTATCCTTTCTGTATTCTTTTTTCTCCTTCCTGGTGATTTGGCAGTGATCGGTATCCGTCTCTCTGTATTCTCATTGGAGCCGAAGCAGCTCATTTCAGCATTAAGTCCAGTGCCTAGCTCTGTGGCATCATTCTCCTGTGGTTCTAGAATACCTGCCTTGCTTATCTGCTTTATCTCTGGACTGGGAGCTTATGACTGTGTAACAGTCTATCTTGCTGTGTTTGTAACTGCAACATCCGGCCTGGTGCCTGGCACACACCGAGTGCTTAATAAATGTTTGTTAATATATGAACAAACAAAAGGTTCTGTCAGTGAGGTTGTCAACTTTGGAAAGAAGGAAGGATCAAATAACAAGCCAGATTTTCTTTGCACTGCCATGAACACTGTGGTATTCAATCCTTACAACATTCTTACACAATAGGCATCCTCATCCTTGTTTTATTTATTACGACCCCCACATGGGTCTCGGAGCTGGTTAGGAGGAGGGGTCTGGATTTGAACCCAGGTTTCATTCTCTGCTCATTGTTCTTACTGCTATACCACAGGAGGGCATTTTCTAATAGAGTAATGTTTCTCGGAAAATTTTTTCTAGAGACTTTTCTCTTCTTGAATTTAGTAGAGCAATTCTTTTTCATATTTTATAAACCCTTCTCCTGAATAAACACTGGTAGAATTCCACCATAAACAGAACCACAGAGACTTGTCAAGCAGAGCTGGAATGGGAAACAGCAAAGGAGTTAACTGGCATCAGAAAGACCTGGATTTTCATCTCGGATTCTCTACTTACTAGCAATGTGACCATGGATGTCATTTATGCCTCCGTTTTATTTTATGTAATTGGGGTTACCATTAGTACCCATTTCACATGAGATAATGGAGGTGAAGCATTTGCTATGTGTCTGAGACATAATTTCTCAAATGCTACGTGCTGTTATTAGCGCAGGGGTACATTTTATTCATGCATTCATTTAGCAAATATTTGAGTGCGTATGTGTGTGGTAGGCACTCTTGGGTCCCATTCATTTGTTAGTTATCAAAACAAAACAAAAACCCCTGTCTGCATGGAATTTACATTCAAGTTGCATCCCAGCAGCAAAGAGCTAGACAATAGACATAATAAATATTAGGAAGTAAATTACATTGTGTGTTGGAGAGTGGCTAGCGTGCTTTTAAATAAAAAAGAAATAAAGGCAGGTAAGGAGGATCAAGACAGTTTGTAAGGGCCTGGGGTGGCCTTCGAGATTGCCAGTAAATAAACAGCATATTCATGATAGGCCTCACTGAGAAAACGATATTTGAGCAAAGACTTGAAGAGGCTGAAGGAGTTTGCCATGTGGATCTCTGGGAAGAGCTGG